TTGTGGTATGACTCAATTTCACTTTACCTCGCTGTCTTTTAGAAATAACCACATATCTCCCATATAGTTTCGGACTAAAATGTTACAGTTACATTTTCTATCCAAATTAATGGAGAGTGTGTGAGAATGGGAAAAGAAAAAAAAAATAGTTAAAGTTAAATTTCAATATAGGAAGATGAAACTAGCATTGTTTTACTTTTTATCTAAATTTTTTATTTAATTACATTTTAAATTAAACATGCATATCATATATATATATATATATATATATAATTAAATTAACCTAAACACCTTAATTTATTATTATAAAAATTAATCATTAAATTATTTTAATCTAATTTTTAATTTTTAACACAATTTTTTATTTAATAAAATTTTAAAATAAACATAAACATATATACACACACATATGTATATATATAACAAATTAAATAATAAATTAAACTCAATATTATAATTTATTACCATAAAATTACCTTATTTAATAACATTTTAAATTAAACATATACATAATACATATATATATATATATATAACAAATTAAATAAATTATTTTTATTATTATTTTTTTTGTCACGCATATTTTCTTTATCTCTTTACCTATAAACTTATCAAATCTATCATTAGCCGATCTCTTTTTGGCGCCGACAAACTTTATCTATCTCACTTTGATGATGCCAACTCCTCTACATCATCACAAGCCATTCTTCAACTTTTGGTGGCCTACTTCAATCCTAGTTTAAACCTTATCTCAACCTCCTCCATGCCAATTATATAAACATAAAATACAAAAAACGCATCATATTGTTGAAGGGATCAAGATTTTACGTAATACTTTTGTGGTGATAATCCAAAGATTTATAAACATAAGTAAAACTATATTGTTTTTGACTCTATGACTTTAATATTATTTCACTTTAGTTTTAACTCACTATTGAATTGTGTATTTTATTATCGTACATTAAAAATTAAAAAAATAAAAATCAAATTTGATGTTGAGATTCATTTTTAGTGTAGTTCAAGTCGCAATATAGTTTGATTTATATTTAAAATAAAGAAGACTTTCAACCAATCTTTCAATCAATAGGAGGTGGTAGAGCAAATAATTACCAAACACAAGAGAGTTTTTGTGAGTGTAATTTTGACTATTTTTTCTCTTTACACACACACCCAAAAAAAAAAAAAACCTTACACTCCATATATTTTATTTATTTATTATTAGCCTAGTTTTTAGTTTTTCCTTTAAAATAAAGGAAATTTATTAGAAAATTTTCTTTCAAATACTTGTATTTTAATTGGTCCATAACATATTTTTATATTTTAATAAGTCTTATTATTTGACCAAATCCTAATTATTTATGGAAAATTTTACCCCTATAAATATTTTTTTGAACCCTTAACAACTTGGTGTGCATTATTTTGGACTATTTTGTACTTTTTATACATTAAACTTTAAAAATTCATAATTTTTGTTGTATATATATATTTTTTACGAAATTTATACTTTTGAAACCTAGTTAATGAGATCTATCAAATAAGATCTCACTTGAATATACAATTTTATAAAATAAAAATAAATAAATAAATTTAGAATTAATTACCTAAAAGTCCTATCTACATATTTAGTAGTAGCTTAGGTCCTGTCAAAAAGTTTTTGAACCAATAAGCCCCATTTACAGGTAAAAAGACGTTTTGCCCTTTTAACCCAAATAAGTGTATATATAATAGCATTGCCATTAAACCGGATCAATGCCAAAACTGAGAATGTTCTCAATTTCAAAATAGATAATGATTTCAGTATATAATTATCAAAATTAAGAAATTTTTCAATTTTTTTTCTAGTATGAATTGAGAATATTATCAATTTTTTTCATGATTAAAATTGAGAATATTATAAACTGAGAATATTTTCAATTTCAAAACAAAGAATGATTTCAATTTATAATTATCAAAACTAATAAATTTCTCAAATTTTTTTCTAATATTAACTGAGAATATTATCAGTTTTGAGAAATTTCTCAATTTTTTTCATGATTAAAATTGAGAATATTATCGGTCTTCTCTCTCTCTCTCTCTCTCTCTCTCTCTCTCTCTTACATTTACCTTTTCCTCCTCCATCTACACTTTCCAGATCTAGAAATCTCCTAATCTAGTTATAGATCTGGTATTTCAGATGACAAGTGTAAAATACCTTATCTCCGACGATAATGGTTTTCGAAACAACATCAACGAGTCGCCACATTCACACCATCAGCAAAACACTTTTGGTCATTCTGTTAATAATATCATCATCGATGATGACGACCATCATCAAGCAGACGAAGAAGAAGATGATGATGATCAAGTAGTAGAATGCCCTGTCAGAAATAATGTTGCTGTAAAAACTCCAAGTCTGAGGCAGCGGCGTACACAAGAACGGCAACGACGTTTCCGTCTTTGCAAGAGACGATTGATTGTGAGCTATGGTGATTGAAAACTTTCTTTGCTATAGAGGTTTGAGAGAGAGAGAGAGTCTGTCTATTTGGTTGTTGTCATTGAGGAGTGGGTGTAAAAGTAAGAGAGAGAAAATTAAGACATCAATTGTTGGTAGCAATGGAGGAGGTCTTGGAAGGATAAATTGGTCTATTAAAAATTAATGGGACTTGAAGGAGTAAATAATTTTATTTAGGACTTAATGGATTATAAGTTCATAAAATGAGACTTGTATGTAAATGCTCCATAAATTTAACATTATAAACATTTCATGATGTGAACATTCACATTAAATAAATTTGACAGCGTGAATGTTCAAATTGACAGTGTAAATATTTACATAACGGAATATTCACACTATCAATGTGAACATTAATGCGCGCTTCATCCTATTATTATTAACAATATTTTGGTAAGTATGTTACCCATAGGACTTATTAAAACTTAAGAAAATAATTGAAACTAAGTGAAATATAAGTAGGTAAAAAGGAATTTATGAATATATGCTCCCTTTATAGAAACAATTACACATTAGTAAAGTTTTTACAAAATATTTATAGATTAGTGAAAAAAATTATAAATTTAATTATTAATACTTATAAATTTTAATTGATTTGATATTTTTTTTTTAAATACAATAATTCTCCCTATTTTATACCAATCGTAATGGGGATGACATTTTGTTTGAACCAAGAAAATTCTATGTTATTCTCTTTTCTATGTCTATTTATTTTTTATTGTTTCTGTCGAACCATTCTTATGTAAAGAAACACATCGTAATCCGAGAAGTTATATAGGGATAGATTAATCTTATTCTAATAAAAAATTAAATTAATTTTTTAAATTTAGTGATATGGTAAGAAAAATAATATAAAAGTTCATTTTGTAGATTCGCTTTATAGAGACTCAACGACGTGTAAATGAGATGATTAGTGAATGATTTGAGAAGATATGAGAGAGAGAGATTCGCCTTAAATATTTTAATACATTGTCACATCGTTAGATTTGAAAAGTTGATCTAATTTTTTGGGTTTGAATAGCACTATTTATGTGACAATTTATTAGAATATATCTAAGACAATTTTTTCTTCTCTAATCATCAGTTAATTATTTCTTGTAAACTTCAATGAATCTATAAAATGGACTTGTATATCATTTTTTATAGGGATAATTTGACTAATTTGAGTATAAAAAAAAATGCAAGATATAATTTTACCAAAGTAAATTGTGTGTTTTACATGACAAAATAGATATATAAAAAGAAAAGTCTGAACATCTCAGGTGATCTTCCAGGGGATTGTTAGCGAGTTCTTTTGCTTCGTTTGTCTTTGGTGGGTGATTCTAGATGAGTTGCCCTTCAAGTTAAAAGATATAGGGGACACTAGAATCAAGTGTGTGAATGAATGTACAATGAATAAATAGTACTGTTACGTTCTTTGAATTTTTATTTTACATGTAAGATATTTATTTTTACTTAAATGCAAAATATTCATTCAGACAATTCAGGCGGAGTGTTTTTGTGTGGATCAAACATTTTCCATAATTAAATAACCAAATTTTAGGGACACTTTCCATAAATAAATAACCAAATTCATTTTAGGGAATTAAACAGTAGCATAACTTGTTTATAACTCACATTCCATACATACCTGTAACCTGAAGCGATTTCTTCAGGATTGAAGAGATCGTATGCCATACCGAAATAATCTGGGAACATTTCCGATAACTCTTTCTCTACATCTTCCTCCGTTTTCTTACTCTCTTTCTACGAATTACAAACCCAGACAAAATCAACTTCTTTTCTCTTTTTTTTTCTCAATTATCAAAATCTCATTTTGATTATTTCACTCTCAATTGTGAATTTTAAGTTAATTTGCAATACGCTTCGGTCTATTTACCATCAATGATGCTTACGAAAATTTAAAATTCAAAGACCAAAGTAAGATATTGGTGAAAATATAAGAACCAAATTGAGTTTTTAATAAAAATATGAAAATTGTTTGCAGAACGACTATATGATAAGTTCTATCAATTTTATTGATTTTAAATGGACAAATTATTAATATTGTAATTTGACCTACTGTATAAATAATTAATTATCACAATTGAAAGTGGAGGCAAAATGAGATTTTGGTGAAACTATTAGAATATTTAATTTAATCAATGTTGTATAGAGTTTAATAGAGCCTATTACTCACACATTGTTGATACATGAAAATGTAAATAAATACGTTTAAAAAAAAAGGTGAAATTATTGTTTCATATGAGTTTATTACACAAAGACGTCTTTAATTATTACCAAATATCACTTTACTCATTTAATCTATGAAATTATACATCTTGTTCTCTTTAACTATAAAAATATATTAGTTTTGCCATCTTCAAACCACTTCTAAAAAAGGTGAATTTGTACAATATTTATAATTGAGAGTATCAATATGTATGGATTGATAAATGAATGAGTAAAATGATATTCGTTAACAGTTGAAGGGATATTGTGTAAGTAACTATTTCAACAAACTAACCCTTGAACGTAAACTTCCACTGATGTGGACAATAGCATTCCTCACAAACTTGAAGACATCCCAGTCAGTTAGACCATATGGCATTCGTTTTTTTTCTGCATATCTTAAAATCTCTGCGTAGTACTCTTTAACTTCAGAGCCTTTTTTTTTTGATTCATTAACTTCAACGCCTTTTTTTTTTTATTCATAAACTTCAACGCCTTTAGTCCAATCATAAGGATGCCAACGATGTCCTTTTCTAATCCAATTATAAACCCTACTAGCATTATACTCCTTTTCATGACCTGGGTACCTTTCTAGAGTATCCATCGTAACCGGTTGAAAGAACCTTTCCATTGGAGTCATTAAAATGGGATGAAAGTACAATTTTGACAGACTCGGCCTGTATATACATTAAACCCATGTAAGTAAACACAATTATAGCACTAATAAAAAAAAAAAAAAATTACAAAGACAATGAAATTTGTATTTTTATCATTCATAGTCATTTTTAATAAAATTTGTATTTTTGGAATTTACTTGTGTAGATCTATAAAACAAAGACAATATTGGATATGAAATTACGTTAAAAAAAATAACAAATGAAATTTTCTCTATTTTTAATTTGAGTAATTGTGAAATTTTGTAGTTGCTGTGAAGAAACTATGAAAGTCTGCTCATTTGATAAATTTATCTAATTTTTATTAGAAAAATGTTTGGAAGTTATAATTGAGTACCTCCAAATCCACCTCTAATGACATGGAGTAGACTATGTGAAGGGGACCTACACTCCATTCTTTATCTCTCTACTCTCTCTCTCTCTCTTATCTCATTAGAAGTCAAAATGGAGATGGTGTATTAGAGGATGTGACATCACTCTTTTTTATTACTGTGAAAATTTCTATGTTTGAGAAATTAATATGAAAAATTATGTAATTGAGAAATTTCTTAGTTAGCAATGAAATTTCTTAGTTAAAAAGTGAAAATTTTCAGATTTTTTCGATTAAATTTTAAAAATATAAATTTTCTTAAAATGAATTTACTATACAAAAATATGAAATTTTAAAGTTTTGAATTAAAAACATTACTGCCTCCAAATTGCTTATATACCTAATAACAGAAGTTGTATCAATCAAATGGTGATTCAATATACTTAGTAGATTAATAAAAATTTTATCGGATTTAATCTAATAAAATGATAGATAATAGCACCAATAAAAAAAATTAAAAATACACAAATTAGAGATAAAAATGAGATTATATAGAGCATTGCTCATAAAAAAAACTGACCATAAAAGGGAGAGGAAAAATGGAGATAGAAGTATAGAACTCTTACGCATTGTTGACTTCAGTGCTTTCGTAAAAATGCTCCAATTCCGTACGATCCCTACGACGATCAGAATCAGGACCAGGATCAATCACCTTCCTAAATAGAGTCTTCAAAGCTTCAATATCTTGACGTTCGTGGGTTCGACGCTCATTGTCACTCTGTAAAAACTTATTTCTTATGAAGGCAAATTTAGGCTTGTCATTCACAATCAAAATGTCTTTCATTGAGAGAGCTCCATGAGTGTATCTTTGGCGATGAAGTTCACACATGCCAGTTATAATGCGCCTGCAATAACATTATATTAGTTTGGCATCTTTTAAATAAGTGTACTTATTTAGGTAAATACACCTCTTTGGGTCACATCATTTTTTATTTTTTTATACATTTTTTCGTAAAAAAATTAAAAGTACATTTATTTAGATTATTCCATTAACAAGATGCTACTACTACTACGACTATTATTATTATTATTATTATTATCCCCTATTGATTGTTAAAAAGAAAAAAAAAATTCAATTATTAACTAAAAGACTCATTTTATAGAAATATATCTAACTCATTTGACAGACCCCACTTTCTCTCACAATGTGAACTTCAGCCACTTCAAAAAAAAAAAAATGTTTAAAAAGCCAAAAATGTTAGCATATGCCAAAAAGAACTACTTTTCTTTTTTTTTTTTCCTTTTTTTTTTATATTTTAATATTGACTTTTTTTTGTTGCCTTATGTTTAGCCAATAATTAAGGTAGTGTTTGGTTTAGTTTTAGAACCATAATTTGATAATAGAGTTATATTTTAAGTTTGTGAGTTGTTAAATCATGATTTAAAAAGAGAAAATTTGTTAATTATGAGTTTTGAAAAAGAGTTTTAAATTGAATTTTGAATTTTTGAAATGAGTTTTGAAATAAGAAAAATTGTTTAGTTATGAGTTTTGAAAAGAGTTTTCAAAACTTAATTCAAAACTTATAACTCATAACCAAGCACACAACTCAAAATTAAAAAAAAAAATTATTCAAATCTCATAACCAAACTCTTTTTAAAATTCAATTCAAAAAAACAATTATTGAAAAAAAAAATTTAAAAATTCAAAAAATTCAGAAAATATTTTTTTATTTAAAATATTAAAAAATATATATTATTTTTTCTTAAAAAAAATGTTCAGCTAGTACTTTAAAATTACTTTTGATTGTGTATTTGATTGGAAATTTTTTTTAATTGTTTTGTTTAAAGATATATTTTTTTATTTTTTAAAAAATACTGTGACAAATTAATTTTTATTTAAATTTTTTTTTGTTAATTTTAAATAAATGGCTAAATATTTTGTCATTTTAGTCTAAAAAAATAATTTCTATATTTAAAAAATATCAAAAATAAATATAATTTTTTTTTTTTTTTGTA